TGCATCATAGGTCTTAGTTTTATATGGTTTAGAACAATTTTGTTTGTTTATTTAATGTTCTTCTACTAATACTTTACAATTTGTCATCTTTTACCAATATTCTAAGATGGCAAATTTTACGAATGCAGGAAGCATTTGTGACTTCCTCACAACTGTATCCACAGTTCCTAATACATAGGAGAAATTCCATAAGGGTTTGTCGAGAAAAGGCAATTAATGCTGAATAAGACGGAGTGAATAGGATGGGGATGGTGTCAGTGTTTGCTGAAAGAAAGCAAGGAGTTATGTGGAAGGAATTCAGTCCAGAGACCATCATTGTCACTTAGCATTTATATTTCACTCAGCCTCTTTGAAATCCTGGGTGCAGAATTTAGACCCAACCTATCCTCCTTTTCTTAAATGATAGCCCTTGAAGTGTGACTGAAAACTGGTTCTGAGTCCTGAATAACATTTACCAAATGATATGTCTCAGAAGATACCTTCCAGTGACAGAGGTCAGGAATTTTTTAAGAGCTGAGGCAGAACCACAAAAGGAGAGTGGATAAAGGGCTCTCCTAATGTAGGAGTTAGAATGAGCACAAGGAAAGATTGGGAGACCGAAAACTAGGAGCTGGGTGCAAGTTACTGAGACTAAGGTAAAGCTGGAATTCATTTGGGAGGGAGCTGATATTCATGAGTAAGATCATTTAAGGGAAAATGTAAATGGAAAAGATTTCCCCCTCCAGAATATACCAACATTTAGAAGATGAGGAGACAAAGAAGAATTAATGACGGAGATAAGGCGTAACCAGTGAAATAGAAATATAAACATTAATTGTACAATTCTGCAATCATATGAAGACAATGTTTAAAGTAACAAGGAATAGTTAACCCTGTTGAATATTGCTAACAGATCTAGTACAGTAAAAACTGATCCTTAGTCTTAGCAATGACCTGGTTATTGTTAACCTTGAAAAGAGTCACTATTGTGGAACCATATGAACAAGGCTTCTTGGAGAGGCTCAAGGGAGAAAGGGATGAGAGGAATTGAACACAGCGACCATTGATAGCTCTTTTCAAGAAGTGCTGCTTTAAAGGAAATAGGTGGAAGGAATGATAAGGTCAAGACAGCTTTTTTAAAGGTTAGAGGAATTGTTGTATAGTTATTGGAATCATCAGACAGGGAGACAAAACTGGTGTTGAAGAGATGCAGGAGTAGGCAAAAGCAGGTTTACAGTTGTGAGTACGTGAAACAGTTTATTCTATTATTTATTAATTATTCTAGTATTTATTTGTATTATTCCTGTACAAACAACTGTAAACCTCTTTTTGCCCATCCCTGAACAGGAGAGTTTTCTAGAAAGATGTTCTTGATCAGTCTCAATGGAATGGTTTGAAATGGGATTCAACGTACTCAAGTGGAGGAGTGGGCATTTAATAGATGCATAATTTATTCACAGCATATCCTGGAAAGCAAAGCAGAACATAAGAGTGTAGGTATAAGTGGTGGGCCACAGGCTAAGGTCAGGGTCTCTATGTCTGATGGGATGGAATTGGCAGTTTAAGGGTTCCAGATTCTTTTCAGGGCCTGGAAAGTTCCTCTCACTTCCTGGCTCTAACCTCGTTTTCACATCCACTGTGCATTGAATAAGGGGCACTTGGGCAGCTTTACTGCTGTACACTCCGTGTCTGTCAGGCCGCTTACACTGATCATCTACACGATCAACTGGTCTTTCATTTGTGATACTGACTTCTCTTCGCTTCTGTGACTTCCCACTTTCCTGCTTCTCTTCTTTCCTTTCAAGGTTCCAGTACCTCTGCTTTTCTAAATGTTGGTGTTCCTCAGAGTTCCATTTTCAACATTCTATTTCTCATTTTGCATTTTTCCTTGGCAAACTTATCAATTCTAATGCTTTTAATAACCACCTAATTGATTGCCATTTAATAATCTCTCATGAGCCTGAATTTTCCTTATGTTTACAGAATCTTATAATCAAAACGAGTGCCATAGAAGCACCTTAAGTTTTGCATTTGCCCAAAACTGAATTAGTGAACTTCACCTTTAGCATGCGTTTTTCCCGCGTTCTTATCCATCATCTAATACCGCAGGTTCTCCTCAATTTCTTATTTGCACTTCCTTACCTCCAATCTCATCAATCAGTAATCTTATTAATTGTATTCCCATATAGATGATCATCTCCTCATTCCTGGCTAATCTTGGCCTTTATTGCAGTTTTAGGCTCTTGAGTAGTCATTTTTCTTTTTGGTTTATTCCAAATTGCACTGTGGCCAGAGCGATTGTTCTGAAACATATTGGTGTCTTTTCAAAGTCATACCATTTTAGTGTGATGTATTAGGCATTTCCTTATTGGTCCCTTGCTTACTTATTCAACCTTTCCTCTAATCTCACCTCTGTCCCAAATGCTCTGAGATCCTGACTATTTTAACCTTCCAAGCATGTCATGCTGTCTTTCCTTTCCAAGTCTTCATATATTTTCTTTCCTTTAGTTAGAAAATTTTTGGTCCTCTCCTGAGAGCTTTGCTGAATTAATCACTAATGGGCTTTCAGGACTCAGTTTAGAGAGAATTTCATTTGAAACAAATGTATTTAAAAAGTAAATAAATTTTAAAAAAAATAAAAGAAAAGCATTTTCTGGTGGCCATAGTTTGAATGAGGAGATTCCTCACCCATGGGAGGAAGCCAATAGGTCCCTGAGTTTGCTTTTATATCACATTGGATCAAAGTTGCAAACATAGTTGTCTTTCCTGATATTATGATTTCCATAAAATCATACTCTCCTTGAAGGCTGGTGCAATATCTTATTTGCCTTTGTATTTCTGGAATGTAGCCCCTACTAAGTTCTCATTGCATGTTTGTAGAATATACAAACAAGTAAATTCATAAATTGTCAAATTTCTAGTAATAACTTTAAGGTTTCCTTTAATTGATTGAAAAAGGGATCGCCACTGTAATAGACACAACTGATTACATAAAAAATAAAGCCCTGATGAGGACCATATAGCCAAACTAGCATTTGACTCCCTTCTATTTATATGGTGTGGTATGAACCAATTACTCTTCCAGTTGGACAGTAAGTATTTTATATATATAACAATTATATATAATACAATTATATGTGTGTGTACATATATAATTGGTATGTGTGTATATATATAGATATGTACCAATTACTGTACTACTTGGACAATATGTATTATATGTGGGTGTGTATTATGTATGTATGCATATACACACTTATATATATGAATAGATATGATTTATAACTAAATGATGATTCTGGTTTGTTTGGACCTCATTATGGCCCTTCTAGCTTTCCACTGATTATCCTTATCTAGCTTAAAGAACTATAAACCACATTCTCACACTCCATTTCAATTTTTTGACACTACCATGGAATATATATATATTTTTAATATATGAACAGGGTAGGCAGCTAAAACACAAGGCAACAAACTGCACTGAGAAATGAATAGGCTCTGAGACTACAACTACAAACTACCTTAAAGGAAAACTCATTCTCTTTTCATTACCTTATTCCTCTAGGTGCCAAAACTTGCATTTAATTTCAGGTTCAAAAAAATTTTTATGTCTACCCATAATCTGTTCTCATATACTTTGCCCAGGAGAGGTTAGCTATTTTGAGTTAAAATTGATCCACCTTCACCAGGCTTGTGGTTGAACACAAATACTAAAGGATATGATTCTCGTTACAGCTCCTGATAGGCTTGCACTACACATATTATTTTAAAGGCAGAGATAATCTAAAAATATACTTTTTCATGCTTCAGAGAAATCATATTTACAATTTCACAGAGCAGAAAATGTTAAACTTAATTTGATACTTAACACCTAAAGTGTTATTTTCAACAGAAATCTTTCTTGCATTCCAAAACATCTGAGGCAGTATAATGATTATAAAGCATTTAATTATGAGAGCCTACTAACAAGATAAATTGTTCTTTACCTAAAATTAAGTTCAAATGTCTCATATCTTGAACAAAAATGTTTGACTCTTAAAAGTATTTCCAAGATCAACAAATTTTCAAATTCAATTGATATTAGACCTATAAAAAAATTCCAATCAAATTGTTATTAAAATTCACCACAATTTGTTTGTATTGTTAAACTTTTGTCTGTTCACTAAACTCACTCTCCCCTGTAGACATAGAGGAGTATTAGGATAGCCCACTTCAGTCACTATGCATATCTTTTATAATGAAGATTCTTGGGAATTAAGTAAAATATGTGCATGCCACTTCTCAGTAATGAATAAAACCAGGAATTTCATGATAGTACCCCACTTGATAATATCAAATTTTATAGATTGTACAACAAAATCTACAAAATAAGTTCATCCAAACTTTTTACATTTCACAGTAAATTTGACTGTTCTTCAAGAATGTGAAGCATAACTTACAACTGTCAAAATACATAGGATAGTTTAGGTTTATTTCTATTGTATGATAAATTATAGATAATGATGATTGAATCTATATTTATATATAATTTTTGTTTTCTTCTAATCTATATTTATAGAATGTAGTCAAGAATGTTGATTTCCCCCCTTTTTTAATAATGAAAAGGAATTGATCTAATGAATGTAAATGAATATTTTAATATTAAGGCAAAGAGAAAGTTAATTCTCAAATATTCCTGACAAAGAAAATAAAACGCTTGAAATTTTGGATGTCTTCTTTCCTCTCTTTCCTCTTTCCTTCTTTTCTTTATTTTTCATTTTTTCATTTCCTTTCTTCCTTCATATTTTTTTCCTTTCTTTTTTTCTGGCAGAACCACAACTTTATAACTAGCAGAATTTCCAGAAAATATTTTAAAATATAAAAGTAACTAACATTTTATTTTCTCACTCTCCCTGTAATTTGCTTTTATTTAAAACTCCAAGGGAGGTTTTCAACAATGTCTTCAGAAGAAATAATTTTCATAGGAAAGAATGAAACAGTCTCCTTGGAATTCATTTTTTATTATTGTTTTTCTTCTACAGAATATTCTGCAGCTCTTCCTGGACTTCCTACTTCATATGCTGCTTTGCTAAGAATTAAAAAGAGTTCATCTTCATCCCTGTTTGGTTCAAAGACCAGACCACGATACAGCAGTCCTTCATTAGGAACACTGAGCGTTTCTTCCCCAAGCTGGCGAGGGACAGCTCAACATTATTATTCCCCCATCAATCTTTACCATTCATCAGATGCCTTCAGACAAGATGGTAAGTGTCAGGGGTAAATTACACTGGAGTTAATAGACAAAAAGACTTTATTCAAGATAACTACAATAGGGGCCAAGAATGTTGCAATAGCAGAGAGAACTTAAACTCAACTCCCTCAAAGCAGAAAAACGGGAGTTTTTAAGATCTGGAAAAGAGCATGACAGAGAGGAAGAGGATGGTCAATGTGATTAGGTTACCTGTGTTTACTGATGAGTAGTGGCCAAAGTTAGTCTCTTATCCTCCTATAGAAACTAGGAGATAAGGGCCCTTTCTTTCTTGATTGCATTTCAAAGAATGGCTCCCATTCTTCAAAAGGTTCTTGAGAAAGATACCCTTGGTTTTAAAACTGGAAAGAAACTGGGAGATTTACATATCAGAAGGGATGCAAAGGAATTTCAATTGCAAGTGCATTATGGTGGAGGAAGAAAGAAAAAAACAAAACAAAATAAAATGGAGTTTGTCAGTAAGCTTGGAAGAACTACAGGGCTGTCTTGGGTTTTTCATAGGGTTGACATTTTTTAAAATTTACAGCCATTGTTGTTTACCCATCTTAATTTCTGTCATTAAGGAGCATATTGTTGCCATGTTATAAGGACATCAATATGGCATAGTCTGCAATGAGAGATTTTTTTTTTTTTTTTACAAAAGCAGAATGAATTTCATCTACATGTGGCAAAATCTATAGATTTTGTTGTTGCTGCCTTTGCATGAAAGTTAGTTAGGGCATTTCCCTGATGCTCAGGTTTAATCCTTTGAGTGGGAACCTCAATTTTGATGACATAGACATCTTTTGCCAGGACATATCGGTCTTCCAGAAGTTTTAAATAATATCTGAAACTCTTGTAATGTATACAGACAGAATATAATGAACATACTACTTCTTATTTAACAATGTTTCCCCTGCAATTAAAATATCAAAAAAAACTAATTAAAAAAAAAAACAAAAAAACCCTCCCTTTATAAAAAGAGAGACAAATCCTTTGATATTTTCCCTTGGCCCTCTGAAAAATATTAAAGTTAGTTTGGGGTCAAAAAACGACTTTATTTAGAATTTGATTCTTAAGAAGTTTGTGAAAAATATCAAACGGTTCTAAAACACTTGACTAGATAAGATCACAAGTTATTATGAAACAATACTTAATTATTTGACCAAAGTGATATCAAAAGATTTCAAAGGCAAATCAGAAGGTTAGCTCTCACTACTGAAAAGATTCAGTTTTCTTAAGTAATCAAAGACCTTAAGTGAAGACAACATAAAACACAGGAAATTATTTTGATAAAACATAGTCTTTGCTTTCTTGATAGATTATTTGAAAAAATAAACCCTTCAGCAGATGAAAGAAAATTAAATTTTTGTTTTACATAAATACACCTTTGATATTAAAGTTTAATTTTTAAAACCCTTAAGATTCACTTTTCAGTCAGCTTAATTACACAGACAAAATTCTCTCTTTATGTCTTTCTTTTCAACATTTTATGTGTATGTAGCTTGTCCTTCAAAACCAGAAGTTCTCATTTAAATAAAATTAATTTCTCTTAATGAATATGCATCTGCATTCTTTATTCTTTCTCTTAGCCCAGAACACATCTTACTGTCTATGTATACACATATTAAAACACATCTTACTATCAATTACATATATTAAATTTTTTAATCTTTAAAAACATTTAATTTTAGTAAAATCTAACAATTAAACAATAATACACTGTCTTCTTTATTAGCTCTCTATGGCTTGGAAAGCTGATAAATTTTTTTTTTATTATTTTTGGAAACGTGTTTTCTCAGAGCAAATTCCTCATTGTGGCATAAGACATATTTACTAATAAATCCACATTTGTCTTTTTTTTCCCCCTTAAGATTTTATTTATTTATTTTTAGAGAGAGGAACAGGGAGGTAGAAAGAGGGAGAGAAACATCAATGTGTGGTTGCCACTTGAGCACCCCTACTGGGGACCTGGCCTGCAACACATGCATGTGCCCTAGATGGGAATCGAACTAGAGACCCTTTGGTTTGCAGGCCGGCACTCAGCCCACTGAGCCACACTAGCCAGGGCTGTCTTCGATTTTCTGCACTTGGAAGCCAAGGGTACATACACTTATGTTCAGTAATTAACTTTACAATATTTTTTCTTATTTGAAAATAATCTAGATATTTAATATATTTCCATCATTTAATTTAACTTAAGAAAATTTTAAGCTTTCAGAATACTGAAATAATTTGAGAAATTTATTTCAAAAGTTTACCTAAAAACGTTTTACCTTACTTACATATAGTTAATTTACTCACTCTTAATTATGTTTGGATTACTCACAAAAAATTTATTATATCTGCTAATTTTTCTTAATTACAATTTTTTTAAACATAGATAGCATGAACCTATTTGACTACTGTTATTGAACAGAAAGATTTTTGTCCACCCAACACCAACAGAGCCAAACACTAAACACCAGGAGCTGCAGTGGAGAAAGATTGCCTCTTCTATTAAGGGTGGAGTCTCCCAGGGGGGTCGGGAAAGTAATAATGCTCAAAAGCTCAAACTCCTTGATAGAGTGTACGTTACAGACTATATAGGGCAGAATGGTAACCATACAGAAACCTTATTGTCTTTAATCCATATTTTCATTTTATTTCGATTTATTTTTTCCTTTGACTCAAACAGGCCTCACCTAACACCCTGACTCACCCACCTTCTTTTCCTTTGCTAAATTATTAAGCCCTTGGGACAACAAGGCTGTGGTCAGTATCTAGTAGTCTTAGGAACAAGGTCCAGGGTCTATTGACTATTGAGACAGAATTTTCAGTCAAACTAAACATAATATCTTGGCCTCAGTTATGTTTTAGCACCAGACCCAGGAAAGCAAAACAATCCCACAAAACAAATCCTTGCGAAATTAAACAGAATGACTCCATTGCTGACATCAGGGCCAAATGCAATGATTAATTACCCCCAGCACCAACCAATCAGTAGAAGCCAAGATCCTAACTCTATTAGTCACTATGATTAATGAATTTTTCCCCCTATGCATTCCGTTCCCTGGATGCCACTTTAAGCTTTCAGGTTACTGCAATAATTTGAGAAATTTATTTCAAAAGTTTACCTAAAAATTTTTCACTTTACTTACATATATTTAATTTACTCACTCTTAATTATGTTTGGATTACTCACAAAAATTTTATCATATCAGCTAATTTTTCTTATTTACAATTTTTTAAACAGAGATAGCATGAACTTATTGGACTACTCTTATTGAACAGAAAGATTTTGTCCACCCAACACCAACAGAGCTAAACACTAAACACCAGGAGCTACAGTGGAGAAAGATTGCCTCTTTTTCTAAGGATGGAGCCACCCAGGGGGAATGGGAAACTAATAATGCTCAAAAGGAACCAGGTCGTTGAGTGTGAGCTACCTGTGACCCGGGCCATGTCCTTAATAAATCCATATTTTCTTGGCTGCAAACTCCTGTTTGTGTCTTATTGGGCTCTGATGCACACAGGAAAGTGGACCCCTTAAATCTGGTAACAAAATCAAAAGACACCCTGGTTAGGGAGTTCAGGACTGTGTTGGAGGCTCATTGGTTGGATGTGAGATAAGGGTAATAAATCCTTTTTTCAGGACTTAAAGACAGTTCTGAGGTCTGCTTCTGTGTCCCTCTGTTTGGTTTCTGGAGAAGGTAGACAGGGAGCTGCTCCACGTTAAGGATGAGGAGCTGAAACATAATTTAGTTCAAGGTGTTATCTTTAGTCTGCCAGAGATCCAGACCTTATGAATGTGAGTCAGGTTTTGGCTCTTGTTTTCTGCTGCTTGAGGGGTGCTGATTATCTCGAGGAAAGGCTAGGCCTCTGAGGAGTATACAGAGTTTAGAGATTGAGAGAGACAGAGATGTGATTTCTAGAACTAGGACTTAGAGCTTGGCTTCACTAGTAAACCCAGGTAGAATAAAGTTGTTTATCTACATTATATGTAATGTGGATAACTCAAAAGACATCTCTGTTTTAATTAAAATAACAAATTTAAACTAGCTTTATTCACTAAAGATTATTTTAGACCACATAAACTTGAAAAAAGTATTTAAATTGTCTCTTTCTGAGAGTTTAGAATGTTCAATCTTGACAAGCACTCGACTTTTAACCCAATTAAATGGAGCTGTTCTGGAAATGCCATCTAGATATAGAAAAATACCACGCATTTACAACATACTGTTGATATAAGAAACATCCAAACCTGTAGAGAATTTTTTTGAGCTTATTTGAGCCACACTGACGATATATGATGGGGAGCAAGATCTAAAATGCTATAGGGAATAACAGTTTTGCAGCTTACTCTATGCATTTGAGGTTAAGGCAGGAACCTAAGAAAAATTACGTGAGGGTGGAAGAAAGCAACACGGGGATACGATCACAGGGTAGTTAAGGTTTTGTGCTCTCCTGGGAGTGGTCACCTGGAGATTAGATTACGGTTTAGTTAAGAATATGTGCTCTCTAAAGGAGTCTGACAGGGCGGTCCGGTATTAGATGGAGGGGCTTGAAAGGGATGTTTCAAATGTAGGTTAACCTAGATACACAGAAACAAAGGGCAGGGACTGCTTGAGGCAAAGATAAGCCTGTCTGTGAGGAAGTTTTATGCCCGGGGAATGACTGCACACCATGACCTTCCCAGATAGGAATTTATGGTCAGATCACCCTGTGAGGTTACTTTCCAAAGAACCCATTTTCCATCTCTAATATGAGAGAACACATATAGACACGCACAGATGCAAACAGACAGCTTTTTGTCAAGAGACAGGTATGATAATGCAAAACTCAATAGTTTATAAAAGAACTGTATGTTCCAAATTTTGTTTTGGCAACTGGAACAAGTTAAATTTGTCTCCTCAGCTGGTTAAAGCTTAGCTATATTTGTGGAGAAGACATTTAAGATTTGTATTTGTCTTTGACAAATCAAGTTATAAGTGATCTTTCGGCCTTTTTATTTAAAAAAATGACAATTATCTTTTT